TTGAAATATATGTAAGGATTTAATTCTTTTCCCGCCATTTTAATTTGAAGGGGGAAAAACAAGATAGCTGCCATTTGATGTAAGAAATATCAGAACAAAAGCAGCTTCACTTTCACAATGAGCAATGGGATTTTCACAATGAGCACAGTTTTCTGGTTTAGGTTTATGTTTAGACATATAACTCCCCTATCCATTCAATCCTCCTCTGTTCAATTTTGATTGTATTTTATATGAGTTTTACTTTAATAAACCAGCAATGACATTATTTTTGTGAGAATATAAGTTTTGTCAAAATAATCCCAAAATTGAGCTTTGTACAATTTAGAAGCATCAATAATGCCAACAAGTAATTTGAACATTCATGTCATTAAATTCTGTTCAATTTCCCTCTGATTTGTTGCCATGATGACATGTTATGACATCATCCTGAAACACTTAACCAGTCTTTACCAAAGCTTTTAAACACTTGTTGTTCAATCAGGATCAATTATTTTTCATTAGAGGTCCAAACAAGATGTATAATGTTTTATTTCCAGACTGCTTTAAGAGAGATGATAGTGTATGGATCAGAGCTTGACTCTATAAGTGAGAATGGGTAGAGCTACTATCAGCAAGCACATCTAACACCAGAGGAGCCAACCTTGCCTCAAAGATAATTGCCAGGTATTTTACAAAGATCTGTTATCACTGGTGATCCACTCGGAACGTCAAAGGTACAATTTTTCTTTTTTCCTTATTTCTATATTGTAGGCAGAATTCCCACAACATTTTATCACAATGTATATCACAATCATATGTTTAAGAAAGAAGACAACAGAATCGGCGATTTAATTCCTCACTTAAATTACAGAAACAATATTTCAAAAAACAGTTAAGATCTGCACTTTTAACCCATATCGTTTCTGTAACTTAAGTGAGGAATTAAATCGACGATTCTATTGTCTTCTGATCTATTTTTTCGCAAACATGTACCTTTTATAAAACATATGATACTGATACACGTTTGTGTGAAAAAATGTCGTGGTGATTCTGCCTACAAGGTGTGAAATAAGGAAAAAAGAAAAATCATACCTTCGACGTTGCAACATTTTGTTACCAAAATGAACTGTTTCTGTAACCAGCGTAATTGAGCGGATCACCCGTGTGTTATGCATATGACAAAAAAAGTGAATTAGTAATATTTTGGATATAAAGAGTGTAAAATTGCAATAGTGTACAGGTGGGCAGGCCCAACATTATTCTTGTTTTATTTTCTCACTTTTTTGATGAATATGGAGTGCATTTAAAGACAACTAGCATCAAACCTTCACAAAACTACATGCAACTGGGTCTTAGTCATCATAAAAACATGTCATTCCTCAAACACAATGAGTAACACTTAATTGTTCCATCTGTAGGTACCATTCACTACCAGTTAGTAGCTGTGAGAAACAGTGTAGGAAACAGTGTAGGAAACAGGAAAAGGCTGTGAGTGAACATGAGGGCTTTGGAAGACTAAACAAGGCTTTGCAACAGAGCCTAGATGACCTAGAGGCCAAACTTAATAGCAATACATTCACACAGGGGGACTGATCAGCTGTGCATGCTAAATTACAGAATGTCCAGGTATGTCCAATGAAAGTCTGAATCTTTATCTCAATGAATGATTTTAATATTTAATTTCCAAACATTTTGTTATGTATTCATTTCAGAACTTACTGTCCTACAACGAAGAAGAAAATCATAAGCTTAGAGCTAAATCACCCAAAGTGACATTAAATCACAAAGTCTTGGGTATTTTCAATTAAATTTTTATTTTATACACATCTCACTGACATTATCCACAAATTTGTTCAAGTCACTGCCATATGCAATGCATACAGTTATCTGCTCAGCATTAAAGCAAGAAGGCACAGCACCCACCTGAGAATTGTAAAACCGGCTTAATTTCATCTTCCTAAAAATTCATTTGCATCCACTTAAAAATGAGAAAAATAATGAAAAATGGGCATAGTTTTACCAGTTTTGGTCTGAATTGTGAAAATGAGAATTTTGCACCAACTTGATAAAAAATGCCTTATCTGGTGCCTGATAATTGAAATCCTGAAAATACGGCAAATTGCCATGTTTCTAGTTTTATAGTCACTTCAATTGATTCAATGTAGCAATTTGTGACATTGATTTATAGGAATCAGATATATGATAATTATGTAAGTTTGGTCGATCTTTCCATTGATATATCAAACTTGATACCATCTATTTTGATTTTGGCTGTAGAGGGGGGGGGGGGGGCAGGGCTTATTTGATAGTTAAGAATAGCATTTTAGAGTCATATTACCATTTGAATTATGGAAGCTACTTTAGCTTTATCAATATGCAAATCTAAAATTTTATGAATCATGTTTTCACAGAACACAAGTAATTTTTTGAATGGAACCCCTGAAGGACTTACAATTTCGCATATATCTTTAGACTTTGAAGCTGACACTAATGAGTGAGAAAAGTTTGGTAGACAGAAGGAGGGAGACATTCTCAGAGTTGCAGACACAGAGTGGTGACCCTCATTTTACCTTAGAGAAGAATCTTGTTGTTGAGAGATACCACATGCTTCTCGACAAAGTGGAGGTATGATCTAGAGATACTTTATATGATGCACTGTTACATTGGGTAATTTTAATACTACTGGTACAAAAATAAACTTCCAACATTGAGGATGAGTTGGCTATAGGATCAATTACTCAGATGTGAGTAGGTAGTTACCAGTTTCGCCACCAGGCGGCTGAGTCGGGGGAAATAACATGGCAGGGTATTACAAATTTCCCTTAAACTTGAATATTCATCAGTTTTAGTGGTTCACTTTTCATATTACCCTTATGTATCTGATAGTTATTCAAATTAAAATATGTCCAGTAAAGGAAAATGTTATCTGCCCAACACAAGAAAAGATATTTCACTTTTTGTGATTTTACAACATGGGGTCTATGGGGAATCTCCCCGACCTAGAAGTCACATTTTCAAAGAAAATTAAATTTTCAAAGTTGATAAACTCTTATCAAAGCCACATTTCTAGATGTAATTTTACATGTAGATTCGAAATATGACATCAGTTTGACTGAAGTTTGAATTTTTAATGACGTAAATCAAGATTATTTCTACTCGCACCTAGTCTATTGTCTAATGGATGAGTTGTCTTGGGGATCAATTGACTTTGGGGATCAATTGACTTTGGGATGAGTTGGTTCTTAGCAACCAGTTGTCTTGGAAATCAGTTGTCATGGGGACTAATTGACCCTGCAATCTACATGTATCGTGTACAAAAGAATATGTAAATCAGGGTGTTTGTTCTTGCAAATGGATATCCATTTGATCTCATTTCTTTGATCTGATCTCTCTTTTAGGATTTATTAAGGGAATGTGACAATGTATTGTCAAACCACATATACCAGGAGGCACTGGAAAAATGCAACAGAATGAATAGATGGAGAAACCATTGAGTAACCTGGAGGGGGATAGGCACACCACACAAGCTCAATTACTCAAGGTAAATTTTGGGATATTTTACAGAATGAAGCCGAAATTATACACAGGGTGTTCCATCAAAATTGTATTCCCACATACTTGAACCCTCAACCCTTATAAACAGATGTCTCAAAAGAAATTGTAGAGATTATCTAAAGTTACATTTCTCTCTCATTTGTATGGATACTTCAAGAGATGAAAGCACAATGCAAACTCAACTAGCACGAGTGAAGGTCTTCTTATTTACTATTAAAAACCCTCTCGTAGTAATACAGTGCAAATGTATTTCTCTAACATATTTTACATTCAAAATATTACAAGTTACGGAGAATGAAAAATGCAACTCATCTAAAATTATCCGGCGTAATTGCTCAGATTATTAAAGCTAAAAGCATTACTTCAAGCAAACAAAGTGACTGTATGTAAATGAAAGTATAATTTCTCCAAAAAGGATATTCCTGTACAAATAGAGGATGGCCAGAGCCTGCTTCATCCCATGCAGACACGGGAGAGAAAACTCTGACAAATTTCTTGGTATTGGGTCCAGACACCATCCGGCAAAACCTTCACTACGATTATGAAACTTTGACAAAACGACTCGCAGATACCAAGGGCACATTAGAGAGCTGTCTCCTGGAGTTGTCACAGTATGGTAACCGCACAGATCAGGTGAGAATGAGTATCTTTATTCCAAAAAGTTGGGAAATGATGCTTATTAAGTGAGCATTTGAACACTGATTTTGAGGAAAAACAATTAAACACTGAAGATATGTCTCAGAGTCCAACAATTTATGCAATTTTTAAACTAACTCTTTATATGACTTGAAATAAGAAACAATTGAGGCACAGGGTGAGCCAAAAATGTTAATCGAAACAAATGTTAAAAACTAAGTCATTCAGCATTGTTTAAGATCATATTTATAATCACCATTAAACCTTTTCAATTTTCTTCATCTTAGAAGTATGGCTATATTATACTAAAGCTGAAGGCATTTTAGAGTAGATCACAATTATGGCATTGTTTTTCTGATTCTTGCCTCAGAAAATTAAAAATGGCTGGAATAGGCCATAACTTAGAGATATGATACTACAATGATCTATTTATTGAAGGGAAGAGTGCGATGGTAAATATTACATTGTGACTGTACAGTTCATGATTTATATATGTTCGTTGGGATTCCCTATGCCTTGGAGTTGCCAATTTCTAGTTGTAAATTGTGAATTGTAGGTTCTACAACATGAGTCAGAACATCCCCAGGTTCTACAACATGAGTCAGAACATCCCCAGGTTCTACAACAACATGATTCAGAACATCCCGAGGTGCTACAACATGAGTCAGAACATCATCAGGTTCTACAACAACATGAGTCAGAACATCCCCAGGTTCTACAACAACCTGATTCAGAACATCCATCACCAGGTTCTACAACAACATGAGTCAGAACATCATCAGGTTCTACAACAACCTGAGTCAGAACATCATCAGGTTCTACAACATGAGTCAGAGCAATGCATCCCCAGGTTCTACAACAACATGCGTCAGAATATTCCCAGATTCTACAACAACAGGAGTCAGAACACCATCAGGTTCTACAACAACATGAGTCAGAACATCAGCAAGAGGCTCTCGGGGTTGTCAGTTCATGATAACAGAAGAACTATCGCTTGATGTTGGAGGTATAATAACAAAACTGTATGACAGGGATGATTTTGAAGCTTTGTGTTTACAGATGAAGAAGCTCTCTACATGTTTGTTATGTGTTACAAAAAGTACACCTTTTCAAAATCATCTTAATGTTCATTGGGACAATGGCCTGGTAGTATACAGGAAAATACTTTTGTCTTGCTGCTTTGGTTGTGCGCAAGCTATCGAAATATTGATGAAATAGTGGTTAGTAGAATTTATTAAGTAAATTGATCAGAAGTATTTGAATTTATAGTACTTACGAAAACATTTGGTGAAAAATATCACTCTTGATAGCTAATACATTTTTATAGTCTCTGTCAGAGTGTTATTTAGATGGAAATCGGTGTTTGTTACAAGGTTACACTGAATGTGTGCAAACAATCTTTTGTAGAAATGCCTTGTTAACTTCATGTAAAGATATTCATTTGCAATAACTTTGTAAAGTACATATAGTCATTTAATAAGGGAAATCTTAAATGGATGAAAATGGTGGAGAGTATAAGATTTCTACTTGGCGAATAAATATGAATACTGTTATTTCAATACAGGATTTATCATACATAAAAATTGGAGATTGGTTAGCTCATTACATTTGGATGATCTTTAAGATATTCAATTAATGGTTCTTGCACAGTGAGCCTCTGAGAATAACAAGGCGTCTGTTGTTGGTAAACATTGGATTTCTTCTAAAAATTCAAAAATTGAAGAAGCAGCGGTTCTGGTGTTTTGTATTCTTTAGTTTTTGAGGGCTTTCATTGACATTTAATCATGGGGTTGTGGAAATTGTTTTTTCTTGTCAAATTTAACCAGTAATTGCAGTATTCATTATCACCCTATGCAGACAGAGCCTGTGGGAAATATTGGGTGCGGAGCAAATGAGCGGAGGGTGCGGAGCTAACGGTTATTTTCACAATTTTATTGATATTTGGTGTCAAATACACATATCTTGGTATATTTGAAGTCCCAAAACGGCTTAGTTTCAGAAATATCCCAATTTTAAATTCAAAAATGACCGTTAGCTCCGCACCCTCCGCTCATTTGCGCCGCACCCAATATTTCCCACAGGCTCTGTCTGCATAGGGTGATTATGTAGGCATTTTAGTTTATGTGGACATACCTGAATCAGTGCATTTGCTGTGGTGTTATTGCCAACTCAAGGGTATGATATTGAGAAAAATATCGACGATGATGCTTTTAGCTGTGATCACTTAGGTTTTCATACTCTACAGCTACTATTTTTATCTGCATTAAACATGTTGAAAATCATCACTCACTATAATATATCAATCAGTTCTGTTAATCAAAATCAATGTGTTAATATTGAGACAAAATTCAATAAGAAAGTCACATTTGCACTCATTGGAATTGTGCGCTCATTAGATATAATATGGTTTACAGGTATATGTATTACATTTTTTATTATATCTCATATACTACAGTAAAACCTGTTTTAGTGCACACCACTTAAGATAGATTTCACATCGACTCCTGTATATAATCCCCTCTAGTTAGAAAATACCTATCGTGAACACTTTTTGTGGCTCAATAGGTGTTCACTATTTACAGGTTTTACAGTATTTGAATTTATTGGAATATATGTAAATGTGTCTTTATTTGTGATCGATGTACAATGTACTTGATGTTTCAATACTGAATGCATACATTTTTGGCTTTTGCAAAATATATATTGTCACTAGTCCACAGTAGGGACAATAGGAATTAGCCACATCCAGAAATGGAGATAAAATTTGTTAATGTTCAGGATTGAAGTGAGTCAACAGGTATATGCAGAATTATAAAACTTTATAAATCGCTTGATAAAATGAATAGTCACATGGGTTGACCTTGAAATAGCATGTGTAAATAGTTATTTGCAATAGAAATAAATAAATCAGTACATCAAACTTTCTTTATTAGTTTATTTGATCCAGACTTGAATACAGCATCAACTCCAAATACTTCAATGAAGTTCAAGGCCAGCTATTATCAGAAATTATAACATTAATTAAAACCTCATCTACATCTGTAATCCCAAATACCTTTGAAAACGTAAACTTGAACACATAAGGACTCCAACTCCTAATTGCAATAGCCAATTCATCTTTGAATTTCGAGAACAAATTTTATTCTATTTTGAGAGCCTTTATCGGCATGAATTCAAATTGACAGAAAGGTAAAAGGTCGGGCAATTAATCCAATTCATGAATACCAAAGGATGCTACATCCCGGGTTTAGAGTGTTTTGCATTTCGTTCAGTTTATGGCGCCTCTACCGGCAAAAGTTAAAATAGCACTGGTTTCGAGACTATTTAAGTACGGGTCAAGGGATGCAGGAGAAATGAGTCGGAGGATGATATATCCCCTGGGTTTTATACAGCATTTTATTGTTTTAAGTTTAAATCTGGGATGTAGCCGGCATTTGACGGGGGGGGGGGGGGGGGTCGATTTTAAAAAAATCCAAGGGATTCACTTTTGAAATGGCCCGAAAATGACCAAAACCATTTGAAAAAGTGCTCAGAATGGTGAAAACTGCATGGTTTTGAAAGCATTTTTGGCAATGGTAGAGGGTCCTGGCTACGGGCCTGTTACATAAGTTTGTTAATGATAGATTCAAACTGATAGCATGGTCATACGGGGGTCCTATCCATAAATACTCTGATAGGACGCTGTCCCGGGGTTTTCGTGTCGTTTCGTTCAGTAAATAGCACTGGTTGCGAGACTATTTTAGTACGTGTTTCGTATCCATAATACTCTGATAGGACGCTGTCCCGGGGTTTTCGTGTCGTTTCGTTCAGTAAATAGCACTGGTTGCGAGACTATTTCAGTACGTGTTTCTAGCACGGGTTTTAGAAACCCGGGTTTTGTCAGTGTTTGCCATCGACCCTTTCTCTCTAAACCCCTCTCTTATCCGCCATGTCTTTCCCTGTTTACCTTTTCCCCATAGTTTAGCAAGGAAGATCACGGTCTAAAACGTCAAAAGCTTTCGAGATTCCAATAAAAGCAAGATATGAATTAAGCTTTTTATCTTTTCTTAGGCTACAAAGACCCTTTTGGGTAAATATGTGGTTCTCAAGTCTTTTCCCTTATGATATTGCATTTGTACACGGATTGAAAATATCTTGAAATTACAAAACCGTTTTCTAAGATTGATCATCACCAAAAGTGAGAACAATAATGTTCCATATCGACAATTTTTAAGTAATTTAAATTCAATTATAGAACAAACTTTTTGAATAGTAATAGCTTCCACGTTTATTTAGTGAAATAATTTAGAATAGAACTGAAAATGAACTATTGGAATACTACATCCATTTCTAACTAAGTAAAATAATATTATGTTTGGACCATCATATTCATAGTTGTGATTCATATATGAAACAATTTATTTTAGACAACCGTTTATTAGCATTATATATTATATTATATTATATTATATTATATTATATATTTTACATGGCACAAGTACAACTTTAATTTTTCTCTGTTATTTTACCCTTTGAGTAGTATACCTCTTTGGGCGCCCAGGTCATATGGTATGTACTATGGTATGTATGTTTGATTGGATTTTAATCAACTAAAAATTACTATGATCTGATTCGTAATTAATCTAGTGCTATATACCTACCTATGCAGTTTGGAGGATGTACTGGGGACCACACCCCTGTCATCTGGCAGGTTCGACTGTCAGCTCCGATAAGTTGATAACATTCATCACATTCGTACCTTAGTGTTGCCCCATTTGAATATCTACCAGATTCGACGGTACCCTTCACTGTACCATGTTCCAGAACAGTCTCTAAAGACATACAGCCAGATTCTAAAACAGTTAAGTATAGAATGATTAGCTATTCCACTGGTGATCCGCTGGATTACGCTGGTTACCGAAACGGTTCGTTTTGGTAACAAAATATCGGAACGTTGAAGGTACGATTTTTCTATTTTCCTTATTTCACGCCTTGTAGGCAGAATCCCCATGACTTTTTTGTCTCAAACGTATATCAGTATCATATGTTTTAGAAAATGTACATGTTTGCGAAAAAATAGCTCAGAAGACAACAGAATCGTAGATTCAATTCCTCACTTAAGTACATAAACGGTTTGGGTTAAAAGTGCAGATCTTAACCGTTTTTCGAAAAACCGTTTATATAACTGAATTAAATCGACGATTCTGTTGTCTTCTGAATTATTTGCTCGCAAATATGTACATTTTCTTAAGCATATATGATACTGATACACGTTTGTGTTAAAAGTGTGGGAATTCTGCCTACAACGTGTGAAATAAGGAAAAAATGAAATAAGGAAATAAGGAAAAAATCGTTGTTCCGACATTTTGTTACCAAAACGAACCGTTTTGGTAACCAGCGTAATCGAGTGGATCACCAGTGTATACTATCCCATTGGTGCGACACGACTATGGATTAGTTATTCATTTTCTACATAAAAATAGCCTCCAGTAGATGTATTGGTAAACATTAGATCTTTCTAATTACTTTTTTACAGGTAATTGAAACAGAAACATTTACTCATAAAATAAAAAAGGGTTTATGTAAAAAACCGAGTGTTTGGGTAACTGGGTAGGAGGGTACCTACACCCTACTAGGGCTAAAACTACACTGAAAAAGATTGATTCCTTCCATCATAAACATAGTTTTATAACAAATTGACATAACTGGGAATCATTTCTTTAAATTTCGGTCAAATATTTAAGGAGTCCAGCCAAAGTTTTTCAGGATCCCCTCCCTTTTGATTTCTAGGACCTTGTGCCCCGCCATCAGGTTTTCACAGAAATCGACAACGTTTTATATACCTTTGCAAACTGGAATTGGTTGAGCCCATCTACCAGTCTTGTGACAGACCATATAATAAATATTTCCAAGAATAGCGTAGCCAGACTGACAGCCAAAAACAATGCTATCAGAGTATTTATTACCAGAAAGCTGTCCGCGAAGGACAACCAATTTGCTGTTCGTATCCAAAGTAACGGTAGGACATGTAAATTTACTTTCTGGAAAAAGACGAACAACAATTAAAATATTTTCCATCATGTTCTGATAAGAAAATGATTTTAATCAATTGAAATGGTTATCAATAAACCTTGTGGGTTACTGTTGTAAACTTTATCCCCCCCCCCAAATTAACGATCATGTGGTTCGGGATACAACAGTCTACCTTTCAATTTATAATTTGCCCTTTGGATCTCCTGCTGAAAGGTAGACTGTTGTGTCATGAACCACGTGAACGTTATTTTGGGCGGGGTAAAGTTGCTAGTTGCAAGTTAACAGTATTTTGGACTTCTATCTCTCTAAATTGAGTTACTGAAGCAACAAGGACACAAACGTGTACATCATATCCCTAATGGGTGATTTTATGAATGCCGAACACTAATCAGTCGAAAAGAGAAGATTTTTAGACAAAAATCCAATGTGGCCGCCTTAAAATTTACCCAGACTGCTCAAAACTAAGTAGTTTGAGATTTTCATACAGAGAATCATTCCTAAAACTTTGAAATCGATCTGTCAACTGGTTTGCCAGGAAACATGTAAACAAGACTTTATAGAGAAGATTTTAAGACCGAAAATCAAAATTAGCCACCTTAAAATTTACCCAGTTTGCGGAAAATCTAACTTGTTTTAGATTTTCATACTAATAATCATCCCTTAAAATTTGAAATTGATCCTTCAAACGGTTATAGACTGAAAACGCATAGACAAGACTTTACAGACATGGTTTTAGGACGAAAAATCTTTTTCAGATGTCATCAAAACACTGAGCATCAGAACAATGCTTTTTAAAAATTCTCGAGATATATAAACCAAACACTGTCAAAAACTAAAACTAAATTATGGATTTTTGAATTATGGAAGTAATGACCTTTCACCCCTACCAAAGAAGGAACATTTTGAAAACGTTTAAAAGAAAGTATATAAGATATAAGACCCCTTCCAAATATACCATTTTTGCAGACAAGGATATTAGCATTTGACTACAAAATGGCTAGATGAAGTAAGTTTCGAGTCAAAAGGTCAATAATAGTCAAAGTTCTAGGATAAAATATCCGCTTCCCACCTACCTAAAAGAATAGGTAGAGCCCAGAAGAAGTATGAACTTTTTCACCTCTAAAATAAATAACTTTGTTTCAAAAATAGAAAATTCTCTGATTTGTCGGATTAAGGTACATTGCCCACCTTCCGATGAAAGTACGAGAGTTCTTTTCTCTTGTTTCAGTAATTGTGTTAAAAACTGTTTAATGTAACTGTTGCCTGGTAGCTTAAAACATGATGTTTCATACCAAGGCACTTGAACATAATTGTGTCCCAATTTCCATCTGACAGGCATTCTAGTGCTCGTCTTCCCTTTTCTCTCACGTATGGCTTCCTGCAAGAACCAACAATTCGATCTCCCACTTTGTTTCCGGTGAGGTGTCCGCCACCAATCAAATATCCATGTTTTGGCAAAACAAGGTCAGGGCAGTCCCCTGTATTTGACACTACAATAAAAGCAAATCGTAGCTAAAGCACAATACTTCCGACCCATCATTTAAATTACGGAAGATCTACGAGATATTATTTTGATCAATGTTCAAAATGTTTTTCTTGGAATGTTTTGTAATGCATGTTTTGTGTTGTGAAAGTGTGACTCAGAGTTTCCGGTTCTATGTTACATACTTTACATATATTCGAAGTCCTACCATTTGTCCATTTGTTAACTTTTACCATAATATTCCCCTTTCCAATAACCAATTTAATTACAGTTCTGCAACACTTTAAGACTCTTGGGTCTGATTTTGCAATATGCCACCATATAATGGGTTTAAAAATTGGGGATACAATTCTAAACATATAATTTTTTTTTGAAAGTATGCATTCCATTTGCCATTTTCGTATTTCAGTTTGGTGCACTTTGTTTTCAACAATATTGTTCCATTTTACTTTAGGTAATTCATATTCATTATACATCATTCTATATATATAGCTATCAAGGTTATATGCCTATGCTATCTGGATGCATATTGGTGAGAAGCTATTTAGGCTCTCATAGGATGCATTGATTATGCGTAATACAGCTACCCTTTTAAAGGTGCTTGAAAATGGCAGAGATAGTAGTTGCCATAAGAGCATTTTTTTAGTTTATTAATGACTTCGATATTTGTTATTTTCCCGTTTGGACAAAAACTATGCTTACACATTAATCGCATCTCCCGCATATCCCACACAATAACAGACAGTACGTACGTCTACAAACAGGCATGGTGATATCCCATACCAATCCATCAGTAAAATTCCAAGGAAGCCAAGGACTGGCAAGAGTGCTTCGTTTTAAACATGTCAATGTTGGACTTCCATCGAGTGTATACCCTGGATCACACACAAACGTTACCGAATCACCAATTGTGTTGTTTGACAGTTTGCCGTTTGTGATGTAACCATTTTCAGGAATACTAAGGGCCGGACACTCTGTTAAACTCATTTCTAGAAAGGGAAAAAATCTGTGAACAACACGCTTATCTCTTCAGTTGAGCTCGGAGCTATTTATCAAAAACCAAAAGTGGCGCAAGTAAACCCTAGATCTCTCCTTTTGCTAATGATTGCGTAGAGGTTGCTTTTGTTTTCATGTTGTTACTAAGCAATGTTGATATTCTTACTTATGCATATAGGCGTTTTCTGTGTCCATACAGATTCGAACATACACTTGATCTGATCGTCGCCCCATAGCACTAATCCAGGTTCACACGTGAATGTAACTTGGTCCTCGTATACATTATTGCTTGGTTTGCCTGTTAGCAATATCAAACCTCGGGTGTCACCTGGGAAAATGTCTGGGCATTTGCCACTGGCTGTAAATATTAGTCTTGAATTAGACTGCAATTTGGACATTCTTCATAATCCCCCATCATTTATGAAATTTAATCATTAGTCTCCAGTGATCACCATTCTTCAAAATGCTTTGTGTCTGTTCATTAAAATTCGTCAAAAAGCATTATCAGTTCTTAGAACTATTTTGGAGGATATTCAAGATTATTCATGTTTGCGAATGTTCATGAAAATGCATGCTTTTCAATTTAAAAACAAATTCTTCAATACTCATGAACTGAAGAATATTTTTATTCATCGTTGTAACAATGAATATTATTGAATAAGACTGAACTGCAATTTGGACATTATTCACAATCCTTCATCATTCATGGCATTTCATCGTTATTCCTCAATTATTATCATTCTACAACATGCATGGGGTCTGTTCATCAATATTCTTTAAAAAACATTCTAATTTGTGGAGGTTAATTTCTTGAATATTCATGAACTGAAGAATACTAATTAATAATGAAAATGAACATATGGTGTACTGTCATTTTGAAGGATATTCATCAAATTATAGTCATTTTCATGAATTGTCAAAATTGCAGTTCATTACTCAAGAATATTCAGTCATTTAACTTGGGGATACTCAAGTATAGATTTACTTGAATATTCATCAAAAATTCTTGTCATTTCACTTTTGTTTAGCAAGTCGGCAGTCCAGCAACGTGAGCTACTTGTTATTCAACATCATCATTTGCGTTTGTACACCATGCATTGTATATTTTGATGCGAGATAATTAATAACTACAATCACCTTTGCATTGTACTGGTCGATCACTCCAACTGCCACCTTTCAGACATCTGATTTCCTTTTTGCCAAATGCTTTGAAACTTTCCTCACATTCGAAGACCGTGGAATCCCCCACACTGTTGTCCGTTAGGCGGCCAGCTACCATCCTGGCGTTTTTAGGTATAGCCAGGTCGACGCATTTGTTAATTTCTAGAGAGTAAAGTAGGCTTATACGATATGAATACGGGAGAGCCAAAACGGTAACCCAACAAATGCTATCAATCACTCATCCAACATGGTTTCAAAATCAAAATTAATTAATAATACCCTATAAAACAAAGGTAAAAAGAAAGGCATTCTCTAAACTTATACTCACTCGTGCAATTTAACCGTCTCTCTTTCCATTTTCCAGTTTGGTTACAAGCCATCTTAATTCTTTTGGTTGGTTCTGAAATTACCTTATTTGTTACATTTTGTTACATTATCATTTGTTTCAGTTCATATTCAATTTGGATTGAGTCAAGTACGCTCAAATGAAAACTAAAAAATCGCTGGAGTGTTTTTTGTACTTTTGAATATTTCGAAGATAATCGCGATTTGTGCGATGCCCGATCTAATGTATTTCACATTGTTATGATTTTATGCAAACACCATATGTCATATCCATATGAACATGAAAACATTATTATACAGCAGAAATACGAGTAAAAATATCTTATGATTATTAAAGTCGACAAATGAACTTCTGAAATTTAGCAAATCGAACGCTCGGTTTTGGTGTTGCTCACTTTTTAGTATTGCCTGGGTCACATTTGCTCAGATTCATCGGGTACATGGGGTACGTAATGGATTCTTTTTCATTTTGACAAATCTATTTCATATTTTATGGGTGAAGTTCAGAATCTTCTACTTGTGTGTTCGTAGGAACAATTGACCTCTAGATTTTCTCATCGGGTATTAGGATGTAGCATGGCTAAAGATTTAAAAGTCAAGATTTATTTTGGCTGGTGTACACGCATCCATTGGATGGTTCAATGTGAACAGTCATTGTAAATATTGAAACTAAATTGCACAGGTAAAAATACCGAGAGTACAGTATCTACAAGGCGATTTCAATAAACTGGAATTTACAAAATTCCCCTTATTTCTTAAAAATGGATTGATCCAGTTGACTTGCCTCTAGCCGCCATATTGTTTTTATACGAGAAGCTTATCGTAACCCTTTAAGTGCTGCAAGTCTACATCTCACCTTACCTCCCATTGTCGCTTCGATACATTGAATCTTACTCATCATGTCTGTTTGACTGCTGACTAATGACTCGATTCCCTTCATGATTGTATCAAGCGTACCAAATAAATTTTGAATTGTATCAGTCATCGCATTAAACTGCTTTTGTGTTTCCGACTTTGTGCATTTATCATGCTGGGCCGTCACAGATGTTACAAAACCCACTACAATAATTAAGCAAGCTACGAAAACTGCGTTCATCGTGTAAGATAATTTATATAAAACAATATTAAACAGAACTATCGGTATGCATTCGTGCATCGTGTACCTATTAACATTAACAAATATTAATGGGACACATCTGATTAAACATTGGCAGTACATATCATCTATTAATACATTGTATTTGTATTTGTTTGTCGGGCATTATAGTAATTGTATTTTCTGACGTTTTAACTTGTTAATTATAACCACTTCAACTTATGTTTAGCCACTGACACCATTGTGATACTCATTGCATCTTTCTGTTTCACCAGAAACATCCTCTGAAATTATGAGGAATATTCTGTTATCTGAGTTCGTTTTTTTGATGTGATGGGAGGAGTTACAACTGTCAGTAAGTGTGGTGGTCATCGTGTAATTATATTGCCCTAATGTCAATTCATTAGATGACATACAATTGTATTCTATAGTCAATGACATCATGGTACCAGGTGATATAATATGGAGAGGCGTTATAACAGCAGTTAGAAGAAATATAATGTGAGATGAAAGATCTCAACAATTCTCAAACCTGGACTCTCTTGGATCGCCATATCCAATCAATTTTATCATGATATCTCAAAGCTAGGAAGAAATTGGATGTCATGGTTTATCATGATGAGTGACACGCGAACGGTCCAGATCCCGTGGTAACTCTTCAAGTTTCCCATAAAAACGCGAGCAAATTCTAAAATTCTAGAAATATCGTTTATAATAGGCTACAATGTATCAACATATTAATGCAAACAATCTTATCTATAAATTGATTGTGGTCTAATTTCCAAAATAATGTCGATACAAGAGCAGTTTTTCATGACATTTCCGAAGCTTTTGACAGCTAGAGTTCCACTCAGTCTATTGCTTTATAGCCTCAAAACCCATGATTTTCTAGGTCCCCTACTTTCACTACTTCACTCATATCTTACTTACAGAGAACATAATGGTCAATGGACAATAGGCAACTTACTTGATTCAGTAAAAGACGAAGTATTGCTAAACTAAATCATTTTGTTATTAAAACGTAAAAACAAGAATACAAGGTGACTTATTCTGACTAACAACTAAACGTAACAAAAATGGAACATAGCAGACCGGCCAATTATTGCATTCAATGCTTTGATTGCCTGAAACTAACAAAACATTACTGATAAACTTGAATGTGATATGAAACTTTTGAAACTTAAAAATGACTAAATCGACCCTACTGCCCGTTCTTAGGGAGCCCTGATATGTACTTACATGCAGCGAACAGCTGCTTATACAAAATTATTGTCTGAAATAGAAATCGTGGTCATAAAAACGAAAAAACTCTTTAAATCCAAAACTCTTAACTTTTAACCTTTTTTCAGTCAAATTTTAGAGGTCTGAAAAAGCTATTTCAGCATGGTCACTGGTGCTCACCTACGATACGTCAGCGTAACAAGATAGAAGAACTTCCGGGCTTCGTTTTCGGTTAGATATTTTTATTTCTCGATTCTACACCACTTATAAGTCAAGTTGTGGACACTAATCTCAAAGTTAAAGTCCCCGTCTAAAGTTTGAAAATATTTTTTTATCATCCATTAACTATTTGTCATGACTTAAAAAGTTATTCTAGAGACTTTTGAAAGAAACATTATATTTGAAAAAAACGTTGTGAGCATTTCATTTCTCAAATATTCAAATTTCCCGCCATGTATCAAAAAAGTTGAAATTTTTTAATCATCAAATTTCTTAATGCATTTCAAAAAAGATTATCTTTTTAACACCAATGCAAAGATTGATCAAAGGACACACTATTTCAATAATAAAATGCCATATTTAATGGGCCACTTTAATGTTTTAGCATATCAAAAATATTTTGAAACATTAGTGATGTCACAAAGGTAACAAAAACTTTTTTTTTTTCGATGTCAATCTTTTCTGAATATGCTAGACTTCAATAATATACCAATGTTAATTGTCTAACCAGGTTAAAAGGAAGAATATATTATGTTTTAGATATCATTGTACCATTGGTTTCTATGAGAACTAGAATTTTTAAATGCATTTATCTCGGAACCATTTTCATGCACTGATAAGTTCATTTCTCGCTTATTTATGAACCGATTTTCTTAATTTTTTCGGCAAAAAACATGCGAGGATGAATGCTATGCATTGGTATGAGTTTTGGCTAATTAAAAGATATGTGTGACCTCTAAAAGTTAGTTTTAAATAACTTCACAAATTTTGGAACAAAAAGTCTATCAAAAAACACTTTTTGAAATTAAAAAAAAAAGTTTCACATATCACACTTTGATAACATTGGGTAAGACTACAATATAAGCCAAAGTGGTTTAAACTTTAGATGGGGACTTTAAGAAGATAGTCTAGTTTGAGAATATGCAGGCGGTTCCATGTTTGGTACAATTCACATATTTAGTCCCTCGCTTTTGTTACGTTGACGATCTTCATGAATATTGTCACATTGGCAATTTGAATATAAATGTAATAATTACTAAAATCGTGACTTAAGTATAGATTAACAGTTTTATTATGTTTATCATTTGGTACATTGTATTTGGAACATTGTAACAACAATTTTGTTGATGCGTTAATTGTTTTCAATTTGAAAGCAGAATCACTGTGTCTCAGAATCTGCAACAAACACACAGTTTTTTATTTACGGCAAAACAAATTTGAATTTGTTTTGCACGCCCGGTGATCGGACAAATGGGACGGAGAGGGGGGGGGGAGGGATTCAACAAATCTGTAAATTTATTTTTCAAGAAAAGTTTACCATTGAATTGCCTGCTCCTCCCTCCTCTGTCCCATTTTCCGATCACAGGGCGTGATAAGTAGGGAGTAGAGCAATATTAGAAAGACTGATAAAGGAGTATAGAGGAAAATGTGAAAGGGGATGTTTTCCAAAAAAATGGCAATGTTTACCATATTTTTCCGAAAATAAAATTAAAATCTGATCAAATAAAGCTAGCGCTGTTATTGAAACCGTATATTAAAAATGTATTGGTACACATCACGATAATATTATGGACTTATTAAAGTAGGTAATACCTTGCAATAAATAAATTATTTATTTTAAGTTTTAAATGTGGCAGGTGAAGAGAACTTACATTATAATTCAGTTCTCACATATGCAGTCGATGTGAATCATTGGGATAACCGTATGGGAAACACCTGATGTGACCTTCTTTTGTAGGCTACCACCTAAGATGAAATCTTTGTCCATATCTGAGGCTGAATCAAATACGCGGAAAATCCATTCCTTCGAAATTAGAGTAAATACAAATGTACAAAAGTATATGGTGTTCAAACTGCTTCTTGGTCCATGAGTTGAACATACTGGTCAGTTGTTTCCGTCTCATTTGTTTTGGATAGATCATCATCGTCACTACAATCAGGATTCGCCAAAAACATTGAAATTAGAGAGAGAATGAAAAAGGTGTATAGCTGCGCGGCCATTTTTCAAATCTCGGGATCACGTGACAAAATATCGAACAACAACCAAAGTTATCGAATATTGCTTTATTCCATTCGGTAAAAAGCAAATAAGCTTTCGGTAAAATACATTAACTATGTAATAGAAAAATAAATCATTCGGTAAATATAGACAAACTTATTTCGGTAGGGTTCAAAAATAAATTCGATATTGCGCATATAATGTGTTACTCCTAAGGAATACAATAACAATTTACGCAAAAATATATCATTTAGCAAATAAAATATATTATTTAATGAACAGAGTATTAACTGATTTAATCCATTGGCTATTTTGAAAACTTAATTCGCTGTAACAAATATATAATTGATTTTACCGAATGGAAAATTGATTTAGCGAACATAAATATTCCATATATCGAATATATTTGAATTTAGTGAATAAAGAAGCAAAAAATGCCATAAAAGTACACGTACTGCCTTAGTAAAATATGTCTGTTAGAAGGCACTACAGTAAGTGACCATTATTTATTAAGATTCTACAGCCGCATTGGTATATTTTCCGATGTTGTTTGAAAATAATAGTAATTTTGAGATTTAATAAAAATAGACACATTTCTTTCAGACAAAACTTTTTAGTATTGCTACAATCGAAAGTGGCATACTAGAAGTATGATAGGTCTACCCTTTAGATTAAAAATCTAAATGCATACCTTTTACTCCTGTTGCTGAGGGTGTTCTCCTGAAAATGTAAAAGTCATGAAATTTGACTTTCTCAACCTTTTAGCACATACCCCAGGGTCCAAGAATATATGAGGTGCTTGTCTGAAAAGTGGTCAGCGAATTTTTAATTAGCTATTATAGTGGCACTCTCTTTCCAATTTAAGACATAGGGGTGGCTTCAAAAATATTTTTATGGATTGTTCATCTAGCTTATGACGAATTAATATTACTGTATATACATGTCGGTTATATCTTCTTGGCATTTGTGTGAAAAGCAGTTTTGAATAATTAACCCTTTGATTTCCAAAGTATGGTTAAAAAGCAAGGTCATACTACATATTTTTGCATAGTATGGGTAAACTAAAAAATTAGTTCTCTTACTTAATTTTCTTGTAAGTATGGTTCAATATATTATAATGCGCCATGGTATTTGTTTCTCCAAATATCAATGGTATGTTTGGAAAAAATATCATCGTTTATTTAGTATTTCAATATATTTCATAAGTACATGACATAAGTTGTGTTTAAAGTTATTTACAAACAGCTAATATATTTCTAACATCACAAATTTATATAATTTATGACACTTCGTAAATGTTTTTGCCTTTCTCTATTATATTTATTGATTTTAAATTTACATTTTATAATTTCTCCATCAGGGCTTCGATGATGTTTTAACCCTTTGGATACTAATACGAATAAGAATATTTTCATTTATTATGGTTTTCGAACAATTATATTCAGCTGTATAAATACCAATGACTGTTCTTTTTGTTTATTTACAATATTACATATCACTGATACCACACTTATCCTTAATTACTATTGTGTGCTTCTGTAACATTTAACCATTTCCACAGTAATACAGATTAAAATGTTTTCATACATTATTGTCTTCAAGGAATTATGTGCCGATGTGTATAACTTATGTTCATCTTCATTCACAATTTTACATTAATACAGTATTGCACATTTCACAGATTTTACAGAATTTTTGGCCACGGAGGGGGGGGGGTCGATCCCCTCGCTACGGGCCTGCAGTTCATCATTTCAAGACAACTGGCTACTTATATGTAACACATATAGATTTTATCATTTCTAGACTAGAATCATTGTGTGCTTCTATAATAGTTAACCACGGATACAGTACTGATGAAATATTTTCATTTGTTATTCAATTCAAACAGCAGTATGTAAACATGAATTTTTCATCAATGTTCAAATAAAGATAATTAAATGAAGATTATTGACACAAGATGTTCACAACAAAACATAAATGTTTCAAGATGGGAATACATGAAATATCTTCATCAGTGTTCAAGGAGTTAAAACACATTTAAGCTGTCTAAAATTATAAAATGTATAATGTGTAACATTAGGTACATGTAAGATCAGGTACATTGGATGTTTACATCTAATAAAATTGCTTGACGACAATAATGTATGAAAACATTTTATTTGTATATCAGTGTTTAAGATAGTACAGAAAGATATAAAAGTATACAAATAGTGACTGCCTTAGAGGGAAATAGTGCAAAATATTTATCCTGAGGGAATATCCTGTCCACTGACATGTTACCGAGGCTTCAGGCCGAGGGCTGTATTCCCAAGGTGAACATTTTTACACTATTTCCCGAAATTGTGACAGTCATTATTTGTCTTATTATGCAACCCATATGTACTCTGTAAACAAAACAAGTCTTTTCATATTTCAACATTTAATGTTTACAGGTTCTTGTTGACATTCAAAGGCATTTTGCCTTTCAACTGCTATGATCTCAGATACCGGGGATGACAAAACGTACTAATGACTGGTCACATGACCCAAGTGGTGATTAGTACATTTCATCTTCCCTGATAGCAAGGATTTAGGACTGTCCAGTGAATCAGTTCATCCATTTCATATTTTGTGACCATGAATAAACCAATGAGCATCGACAGTGGAATACATATGGGGTATATAATAATGAGTAATGGTTTTATCTGTAATATATGCAATATATGTAACATTGTAAATGAAATTTAAAAAACATTGGATGTTTACATCTGAACATTCTTGTTTGAAGCGAAAGATACATGGAAGCTTTTTGATCAGTATAAGTGCTAAAAGAGTTCAAATATTACATCAGTGCATAATAGGCTGTCTAAAAATGATAAAATGTGTATGTATGACTTTGTAAATAAAGAGGAAGAGAATTTAGTGATTACAACTGAACAAGGTTGTTCTAATTGAATAATACAAGAACGCTTTTTATCAGTATTAGTGTTGAAGGGGTTAAAATATTAAATAAGTACGTATCACTTGTCAAGAAATTATAAAATGTATATGTAACATTGTAAATTAAGATGAAGAACATTGGTTGTTTACGTCTGAGCATAATTCACGGGTGTTAAAACACGAATATACCATGAGCACATGCTTTGAGGATCCGCGTTGTTTGAACCTACCGCCGAGCATACTTATACATTAAGACCCGTTACACAGTCATGATACCGCCGAGTAAGCTCATTTGCATCATCGGGTCTGCTTTACCCCCGTGATAATTGATTGAAGCCAAAAATATTTTAATCTGTATTAGTGTGTAAAGGGTTAAATATCACAGCAATGAATAAGCACAGTAGGGAGTAATGTAGTATCTGCGAAATATGTAACATACATGTAACATTTTAAATGAAGATAAATAACCGTCATTGATATTTACAGATGACTATACTTGTTTTGAAGATTATAGTGTATGAAAGTATTTTAATTCAGTATTAGTGTCCATAGGGTTAAAGCAGCACAGAAGCACATAATCCTTGATGTAGAAATTATAAAATCTATACTATGTGCAACATTTAAAATGGAGATAAATAAATGTTGATGTTTACAACTGAACATGAATGTAATATTTTGAAAGGAATGAAAACACTTTTATCAGAACTACTGTCCAAAGGGTTAACATTTGACATCAGCATATAATTAGTAAGCTACCTATCGAAAATATGTGTGTGCAACATCCTTAGTCTAGCTAAATGAACATTTAATGTTTACAACATAAAAATCGTTTTAAATAAATATTACATGAAAATGTTTTATAAGCATTAGTGTTCGAGGGGTTAATACCCCTAAAATCAATAAATTTAATACAGAAAAGCAAAAACATTTACGGAGAGTCGTAGATTAAATAAATATGTAATGGTAGACATATATTATAGGGCCCCTATTATATATTTGTAAAGAACTTTAAACATAACTCATGTCATATACATGTACGTAGTACATGATGTACTACTTACACATTTAAAAATATCATTGAATTTTGGAGAAACAAATACCATGGCATTTTTTATATAGTAAACCATGTTTAGAATATGTACTTATGAAATATATAGAGGTTATTCAATGGAAGGTTTTTGATACAGGGTATATCTGAGGGAAATACAATATATCTAACCGTACCCGAGGGTCCGTAGGGACCAAGGATTGATATATTGCATTTTCCGAGGGATATGTCCTGTATCAAAAATCGAGCATTTAATAACTGATTTATCCTATACTTATAGTAGATTATGAGGATTAAGTATGAATTAAAAATTATGTAATAATTACAATAATGATAATTACAATTGAAACATGAATATTCTATCTCAATTTAAAGTTCTCATTGTTTTTTTAAAAACTCAACAGTTTTTTACATTTAGCAGTATATACGATTAATATCTATTCAATATACACGTACACACATCCTCCGAACGCAGGGTTCCAGACATCATCCACAAAGTAGGTACGAGTTCTGGAGGCCTGTGTTCGGAGGATGACGTACACATAGGCCTACTGTACTGATTAGCGAGAAACGCACCGAACGAAATTCCCGGAAATTGCTAATGAGCGGGTGATATATATATCTCCCGCTGACCTCAGATACCAGTTATATCCCCACATAAAATTCGATAAGTTTTTGATATTTTTTAAAAAAAATATCATTGAATTTTGGAGAAACAAATACCATGGCATTTTTTTATATTTTTTATTTTTTTATGTATTAAACCATGTTAAAATTAAAAATAAGTAAGAGAATCAAAATCCTTTATTTTACCCAAACTATGTAAAAGTATGTAGTATAATCCTACTTTTCAACCAATTATTCAAAACTGCTTTTCACACAAATGCCCAAAAAATTCAGAAGATATAACCGACATGTTTTATACAATAATATTAATTTCTCACTATCATAAGCTAGATGGAAAATCCGAAAAATGTCTGTCAAGCCGCCCCTATGCCAGAAAATGGAAAGCGGGCGCCACTATAATAGCTAATTAAAAATTCGCTGACCACTTTTCAGACAAGCACCTCATATATTCTTGGACCCCGGGGCCCGGGGTATGTGCTAAAGGTTGAGAAGGTCAAATTTCATGACTTTTACATTTTCAGTAGAACATCCTCAGCAACAGGAGTATTTATCAGCCTGTTTCTGATAACCTTTATCATAACAATAACGCATACTGTCTTCAGACATTGCACTCACCGCTTCATCTCCAACGACATGGAACACCTCATAGTTGCTCATTTCAGGAGAAGTCGACGCTTTGTAGTATATAGGATTAGTAGCATGTTCCTTCCAAGCTGCTAGAATGTCTTCATGTGCGATACCTTAATTGATTCCAAATTAAAAAGAATAACATAATTTGAGTTAATGTATGATGGTGTTTGCCTATTCTTGCACCCTTGCAACATTTAGTACAATAACGTCATTTCAAAGGGCAATATTCACTATATTGCCCCTAGAAATGACGTTATTAGTATTATTACCACCGTTAATGACCAGAGTGGAAATAGCAAGAAAATCTTACGCACTGAACGATATCTAATTTCCCGGGGAAAATTGCCGGTCATTAATTGCATTATTGACTGCCATTATGGACCACCACTATGACGTCACATATTGCTCAAATGCCGGGACAGTTCTGGGAGTTTTACTGCTAGTTTAGTAGGCATTCATTTTACTATATCGACTTGAGCAATATGTGACGTCATAGTGGCGGTCAATATCCCGGTCAAAAATGCAATTAATGACCGGCAATTTTCCCCGAGAAATTAGATATCGTTCAGTGCGTAAGATTTTCTTGCTGTTTCAGTCCAGGTCATTAACGGTGGTAATAATACTAATAACGTCATTTCTGCGGGCAATATAGTGAAATATTTGACGGGCTTCAATAATTCTTCTTTACCGAAGTCAAACTCAATATCGGATAGGTTTTCTTATATGATCTGTGCAAAAGGTTTGCACATACATTGTTCAAACATGTGCAATCGTATTAAAATATGTTCTATGTTACAAGAGTTATGAGAAAAACTTTACCAGGAGGGTATACCAGCTCACGGAATACAGCTAGGAGCGTATCACATTGGAGTGATGCTCGTGGCATGATGGCAACTCTCTGTGTTTCATTCAATTCAAGTCCAAGGGTGAGCGTAGCAAAGTCTATGTAGTCAATTACTGGTGTTAAATTACATGTGAATTTCAAGTCCTTCTTGGCCATTGCTTCCTCAAATGCTATTACACTTTCGCAGCCAAATATAACATAAAGACGGTCTTTACCTACTTCCTGTAAGGTAAATATAAGTATTATATGTAAGCACTATATATTAAACTTATGTTACAAGAAGTCCAGTTGACATTTCGAGCCCCTACTGACTGGAGTTGAATAGTTCCTTTTTGATACTGAATGAAATGGAACACGAGGCCTCATCTGAGGGAAATACAATATACCTCCCCGAGGGGTTGAGGGTAGAATATTGTATTTCCCAAGGGTTATACCTTGTACCCAAAATTATTTATCATATACTAAAATACGAAAATATGAGAAATTGCACAGAATGAAATTCCTGCAGGGGATTACTGAGCGGGTGATAAACCTGGCGATACATAGAGATTATCCTATATGAGGTTCAGGATATTGAGACTATCCCGGGGCAAATATAATATATCTGCCCGAGGGCGATTATGACGGAGTGGGCAGATATACTATATCTGCCAGCTCGCAACGGGACGTAAAGCTATATCTGCCCGCTGATGAAAATATAAGTTTTTACAAACCTGCTTTATGTACCTGAAACACGACCAAGTATGGGATAAAGCAGGATATGCAGTACATGTATATCCCCACTCACCTAAGGTATCAATTATATTCATGCATTTTATTTACCTATAACACTAAGTATAGGATAAATAACTTTTACTGACAAATTGTATAAGTACATGATTACATTAGTCACAACTACTCACTAAAAGGTTAACTTATTGCATGAAGAAATGTAATTCTACATGAAGATTTCAAATATGATATCACTTATTTGACTGAATTTTGAATGATGTAAAGCAAGATTATTTCTACTTGCATCTAGGTCTATTTCATTGTATAAGTCAACAATTAATAAGGCAAATACATATCACTGGCTTCCCTGATTCATTTAGATTCCTCGCACTTTTAAAATCATCAATAATTCATATAGGGTTGAACTATCGAATAATGAAAACGTTGCAAATGATGTGATAGAAGTTTTTATACTATTTAGCTTGGAAATATTGCTGATATAGTTTTAATGTGATTTTAGGAGATTAAATGTTCTACTGAGGAACTTTGATTATGTTCAATTTTCTATGATCTTTAACTTTCTGAAAAGGGTCGGGCTAAATTCTCATTGAGACGATGTTAAAAATCTTAATGTTGACTTCCTAAATGTTGAATTCTTTTGATTGTCATGAATTTAAGGTTCACACAAAATCTGAAGATCATCTAGTTTCAAACACAATCTGAATCTCATTGAGTTTGATGCGAAAGCAGTTTTACTTTAATCCAAAATAACAAATATGGTAAATCAATATGTGTCTATGGTAGATGCTAGCGTGTAGTCCAACCAGCACAAGTGCTGCCATCTACCTATCCATTCATCAGTTTAGCCCCTAATAAGGTCAGTACTCATGGTAAAGCTTTGTACCTTGTCTATGGTAAAAAGAAATCAAAAAGAAATGTTAACTTGACACGATTGGTAATGCCCACCTTGAAGGGTGTAGAGATAAAGGGAAGGGTCAGGATAACACTGATATAAAATATTTAAAGTGTCTAATAATGATAATGAACATATAACAATGTTACATAACATAAGTAAATGCTAATTAAATGTCAATTGTTGTTAGTATAATATGTATTTTTCATTTAATGCTGCAACGAGTACACACGTACCAAAAAGTGCCACGCCCACTTTTCCCTAAAAGCAGCTATGTGTGACTATATTTGATAAATGTTATTGATTTATAGGATCATTATGAACACTTTTCAGTGTTTAAATGTTAAAATATACATATTGATATAATTTTTGACAAAGTAGGAGCCATAAAATCCAAACAGATTTGCAAATATTTCACTTTGAGATTAAAAGGACACATTTGGGAGGGGGTCAAATTGAGAATATTTCAAGATATAAATACTGTTTCTATTGTAACCATATCAGTTAGAGATTGGAAATTTCTGGCTCTTACTAACCATAACATGCTCTACTCAATATAAAACAATGAATATCTGACATGCATTAGTATTCTTTTTATTGGGTGGTATTAAAGTACCCCCATGGTTTTTTGGGGGTAGGGGTATAAATTGGTCTGAGGGCCGTCTGCCACCCCTATAGAAAGTCCAACTACCCAGAAAGTGTCTAGTATCATCATACAGATGGTTTGAAATAGGTTGGAATGTGTAACCTTTCATGTAAGGAAGGAGTTACAATTATCAGAGTGGGCCGTAGTCTATTAGCTTCAAATATCTCACGAAACCAAAATATGTATCCTAGAAAACCAGCTGCATAACTAGCAAAGGCATAATACACGCTGCGGTGTTGTCTTAGTAAAGGACTAACAACCGAACGATTATTATGTGAGAAAACTACATGCATTTGTATGGGGCGATTTTTAACGTACAGGTTGGCGTGTCGATTTTATGTGACAGCTTAATGTCTCTAATATCAAATAAGATTCACCTGCTTTGTCCACATGGACCCTACACTGAAACTTTATTTTCTTAAAATACCCTACTTTTATCTTGCATATACCCTTGGTTTCGGTGCAAAATTCCCCATACCAGTTTTGCCTACCTTTAAAGGGTAATACATTGTGCAACCTTTCATATCATCCAATTGTCGTGAAAATTCCTTTAGGATCCGGATACCACACTCCGTTGGGTAGGTACAGTCAAGCAATGCATTGAAAACTTCATAGCGACCAAGTCCAGTCGTCACGGGTCTTTTTGTGGGAGGTTTATAGGCACAACTGTCGGGATTACCTAGAACATGATAATAAATTATCTGAAAAAAACATCAGTTTTCAATATCATCGCAAGCTGATTCTTAATTAACTTTTCTCGATTATCATATAATCTTGCAAAATTTCAAAGATAAATTATAACCTACACGTCAAATCTTGAGGAAGCCCTGCAACAACGGTCAATGTTCCCACGAGCAGTAACGTCACAAATGAAGCCATCTTCAACATTGAACTGATGTCAAAGCTCTGAAATATACAGTTATGAAAAATACAGTGTACACTGCGAGGTGCTAAAAAATGGGATAATGGGCAGACTTGAAAAACGTGATAGAGAGTTGCTGTATATATAAACTATCTCATCCTTAATAGAGAAAACAGAAAGCTACCAAAAGCTGTGAACTTGAAGAAAAGTGCCTTATCTTTAAAGGATGGGCAAATGCCTAGGTCTCATTTTCCACCGGCTGCATTCTGAATGAAATCACTTCTGTATATTTCAATTTATTGATTGTTTTAAGTGGTTGATAATGCTTAATTGCCCAGCCGCCAAAATTCATATACATGTAACAAATATCTGATACTACAAAATTCGATCTTAACGAAATGAAACTCAAGGTAGACTTGTTCAAAACCAACAATTGATATTGTCATTCTGAGACATGAAACGAAATCCATCATTAATTTATCTGTAAACTGGTGAAATACAAGTAGCAGTAGTTCAACCATTCTGATACTCATAGCATCTCTCTCTGTTGCATCGCAGAAGGATAGAAATGGAGAGGGCGTGGATTACCACGATGTACTTCAACATGTTCGATGTGGTTCTTCTTTTATGACAATATGCCGTGCACAAAGCTGATCAAAATGCTTGCACGGCTACAAGATGTGTGGAAATTAAAGTAAGTCTCTAAATGTTTTTTTTAGTTCCTATAAATTGATGCATACACATTTTTACAGATGAATAGATTATCGTTATGTAAGTTTACCTACTTGTATGTTCCTATTTTCTAGATATGCTGTCTAAACTGAATCTGTTGCTGCTTGGCTCACCAACAAGAGAATGCAACATGAAGAGTTCAAAAGTGTCTTTATAACCAGATGTTGCAATAGCACATGAAATAACTACTGTTTATGATAATTTGAAACCAACCAATATCCGTATCCCGTGTGTGGAATGTTAAAGGCCTCGTGCAAAGCTAATTCAATCTCTCTGACTTTTATTGGAAGTCTTTGATTACCCAAAGTTACTGAAATGTGACATGCGAAACGTTTTTACCTGTTATAGACATTATTTCAGTGACTTTGGTTATCTTCGAGAAGAAAATATCTGAAAATAATGTGTTTCAAATTAGCACATTTAGAAAAAAATTATGGAAAACTTTATAAAATGACACCACGATTATTACATAACAGCGTAACATCATTAAAAATGTAACGTTTACTCGAGCGAGACCGATGGAGTGGAGAAAATAATGTGTTTCACAGTGTACGGTTTATATTTGATGATCTACAAATCTTAACCCTGTTGCCAAAGCGGGAAATTCGAATGTGTAAAATATAAGAGTCAATATATTGGGCTTTAGGTCATGAAAAATACGATGAACGCACGATCGAAATTTACACGAGGCCTTGCAACATAAAGGGAAATTATTTTTAAACACTGTGTATGGCTGTCGGAAACAAATACAAACCTCATTGTAAGTGCAATCTACATTTAGCTGCCAAGCTTATTAATATAATATGATGTGTTGCACAATTTATTAGTAGTTATTGTCAAGATATGAATATTCCATTTGGTTATGAGGATAACACGTTTTTATAACACTCAATAGGGAGGTTGAGTTAAACGTTTTTAATAGAACGTATACGTGAAGAATTGTGGTTATCTGGGGATAAGTTTTCCCCTTGGTAGTAATCACTTGCCCAATTGAGAATAAAGGTAGCCTTTAAGAAAGAAAGTAGTAATTAAGTCACTGAAAAAAATGAGGAGAGGAAATTAGAGGGTCATGATATTTCATGTTCACGTAAAAGTTCTATCAAAATACTTGTAACCTAACCTCCATATGTTTGGCTCATCAACCAAAGAGAAATGCATGCCCGAAATGTATGAAGAAGAAACATTGAAAACAGCCAGTCCCCTGGAGGGACAGCAACCTAAATATCTCAGCCGATGTCAATGAATAAAAAGGTCTACACGAGTAGACATTTCAAAACTCACATATCACTTTTTTCCGTAATTGATGATGCATTATGGTCTAGTTACATAAAGAATATTTACATATACTAGTATTACATACGCATGTATAAATTGTAATGAGAACTTTACATATGTCGTGATGATAAAGTATATCCTGTAGATGTGGGATTCTAAATGTTTGTTCATCAATTTATGATGAGCGTAGTTCTAGCTGACATATGACAGTGTATAACAAAACCCAGTAGTAATACCACAGCCATCAGTTAAGTTTGTTACGCACTTGACGATCTATGGTGCATTTATAATTACATCATGATAAACCAGGACATCTCATTTCTTCTCAGCCCTGAGATGCCATGATATAATGAGCTTGATTTGGCGTTCCATAAGAGCCCAAAATTGAGGATTTTCGTGATCTATCATCCCAGCTCATATTTCATCTCATTGGGGTCATAAAACATGTGTACCCGTGCCTGCACATTAGGTACACTCTATAAAACATTGTATTTTTAAATTGAAATTCCTAGCAAGCATGTCACTTCATTAAATGCTCAAAATATTCTCCTTTATTCCATAGTTAGCATGATATTCATAGGATAACATAGTTTCTGGCGCTTCACTCATTCTTTGTATTCAGCCCTAAAGCCACAGGGGAATATTTAGTGTGCATTGCACTTTTCACAGCTGCAGTGAGCTCTGTCATGCTTGCATAACAAACACCTCTCAGTTGATCTTTCATCCTATTGAACACCCCAAAGTCCTATACAGCCTCATCAGGGGAGTGTGCAGCCTGGTCTAAAATCTTCATCTGTAGGGTATCTCAGATGATATCCTGAACCATATTTGCTTGATGACATGGGGCATTGTCTTGGAGAAATAGCTTTGAGAAGCGCGTAATTTCGGGCCGTTTCTTTTGTACAGCTCGCTTAAGTTGGCGCACTAAATTCCCCTGTGGCTTTAAAGTGTGCGCCTGACCCGGCTACGTATAGCACAGAGTTTATACTGGCGGATTAGACTAGTTCATTTTTTATATGTGTGTGAAAGCTTTCTCTTATTTGCGCTTTTTCGTTTAGTACGGTTTTGTTATAATTGCCGAGGTCATATAACCGGGATAAAACAATGATTATCGTTGACTGCCCACACACAAAACATACGTTGAGTGAACAGTGTTATAACAAACAACAGGCTTTAGAATACAAAGCGTAGTTTGATAATAAGCTGCACACTACCACTGCTGCATGTACATATTACTAATTTACTAGGGCTCCCAAAGAGTGGATAGGGAGGTTGTGTTTGTCACTTTTAAATTTTACATTTCAAAATTGTCATTTCACATGTCATAATTTGTTGGTTTCATTCGTTTAGCCAATCAAAACATTGTAAAACAATAAATTGTCTGTTACGTACAATCAATTTTGTTCAGTTTTGATTAGTTGTCAGAATAAAGTTACGTTCATCTGAATTCATGTATCAAAACAAAAATCCTATTTTCACTTCAAAATACTTCAGTACTCGGAATTGTCACATGCAATAGCTTATTGTCGTATTCGTTATTTTATCTTCTCGATCAGGGGCGGATCTAGGAACCAACAAGGGGGGCCCCAAATTTCAGGTCAGAGAAAAAAACGTCCGCGAAAAAAAAATTTGGGCCCCTAAAATCCAAAAGTGGGCCCAAATTTTGAAAATTTGAGGCCCATTTTCTTCAAAATTTGGCCTGAAATTAAAAAACAAGGCCTTAAAAGGCCCAGTAATGACCAAAAAGGCCCACTTTTTGGGGCCTGAAGGTCTTGTTTGGCCCAAAACATTTTTTGGGCCCAATTTTTTTGGGCCCCCCTAATCCCCCAGTGTCGATAGTAGCATTTAGTCGCACATTTGATGCCAGGTCACCTTGTCGCGTACCTCTTCGGGAACCCCACATTTATGTGTGTACTCATGGAAGTAAATTCCCCGGTGTAGCCGAGAGCCACAAACTTTTCAACAGGTTCGAAATGACCAATTTCTCTCATATATACTCTAAATATTTTATTATTTAGCACCTACAAAGTATTGCAAATAACCATATGTAATTTCAATAAGGAAACTTATCTGGCTACATATAAATTCAATATCAACACTAGCTGTTCTCTCAACACGTCCTGGCTTACCTTGTGGTGACAAACCCTGGATTTTCGCTATTTATAGTTTATCAACACCTGGACGCATGCGCATTTTATACTTTATCGGGCACTTTAAGGCTCAATAAGAAAAATGGGTGAAGCGCTAGGAACTATGCATTTAATGAAGTGACATGCTTGACAGAAACTTCAATTTGAAAAGACGTTTTATAGAGTGTACCTAATGTGCAACTAATGAATCACAAGAATTTAATTGAAATTAAACTTTTTCACACCATAAATTGACCCGCGTGACCAAAACATGGGTTACCATAGCAACCATAACTTTTGCCCAATCAGAACAGAGTAATCTATATTTTGATGTTTTTGTTGTTCGATGAGTATGTATTTTTTCTATGGTATGTGAAAGTTTCAAGGAAAAACATTGAAAAATAAAAAATTGAGAATGTTTTTGCATGAACTTATTGAACGACCTGGTACAATGCCTATTATGTAATGTACTGAATGATTACATGATAATTATCACACGTATTAACAGTTATAACTCTTCCCATCGGATGTGCTCAGATCACATAATATGCCTCATAATATCAGAACTTGTTTTTTTTATAATAAATACTCTTTATTTCTTAAAATCATAAATAAATTTCCATTGTTATTCACGGCGTAATCGCCCACAAAGGGCATTTCTACTGCCGCTTTAAGTGAATTTAAATTACAATATAATATAACATTTAGTCAAAGTCATAGTTAGAGTAAGAAAAATATACAATTTAGATACTATCTGTTTTTCTACCTGTCTGTACCCCCGTTGGTGCCCTGAATTTGAATTACTGTTATCGATTATTTAATAAAATTCAAAACTGCCTTAAAGATTTTGGAATTGTTTTCATTTGTCAGATCTTTGTCGCCAAAAAGTAGGAAATTTGTCTTACCAAACAAAATGTGAAAAAATAACCTTTTTTTACTCTGGTCGATTATGTGGGCCGATTCACTCAGAAAAAATCCGAACAGTGCTCGTAAAGCATTTATCATAATTACAAAGTTAAAACTATTCCTAAGAGAATGCTGTTTTTATTTTACATGAAATCGTATTAGTTTTCATCAAATTAATTTTTTTAAACCCATGTCATAGTTTTTGCTTCAAAGCAGTTAATTTGCGTCACCGTACAGAAAACTGTACTCCGCTATTTTTTGACGCTGTACGGTGACGCCTACCTACACGATGGTTAGGCGTGTCCTAATCAATGTGATATAGTTTCTTTAATATTATTAAAAAGGCAGACATGTAATGTGTAATTATGGATGCAGTAATGTGAAGCCAATCAATTTATTTTTGTCATGATTTTGTCAATGACGCACTTACATGAAAATATTACTGCTATCAATTTGAACTTTAATGTTTTAACATATAAAACAATACCATATTGTTTACACCTATTAATTTAGATGAACAAAAAACCAGGCAACCGTTAACAACTATAAATATATGTTATTCATTATCCTGTGTTTGAAATGAATACTTTTCAAGCATATTTCCTGTTTATTTTCTAGAAAATGACTAAAGTATCTTAATTTAAGTCATTTGTAGAATTATGCAGTCGCTGATTACATTCCTATTTACTTTTGTTTTACATTTTGCGTAAATTAAGTATGTCCACGATGGTATTTTCATCAACGCATTAAAGTTGAATAGTTTAATTCGACCTGTGGATTAATTGTTAAGTCGGTCATGTTATTTCACGAAAGATTAAGAAAACAGCGTGGACAGTACAACATCCGAATTCAGCAAACAGGAAACAATTTAACCGTTGTATAAAAATGAGAGGTAAGTCACTTCACTTACATTTTACAGGAACAAACTCTTAAGATAAGCAAAATCATTACGAAATTTTAATCAGAGGTGCGTTGATTCGCCGTAACAAATAATAGTTCGAAGAAACGTGAAAGTCGTGGTGACTTTGACATACACACAAGTGTGTTTAGTACAATTTAATAATTTATATTCGAGGGTAACGAACGCTAGAGCAATATTGGGGTCATTGACAGTTGGTTATACTGAAACATTGGGGGCATTTTTGTTAATTTTGTTAGTTAAGGTAGAACTTCAGTGTTCATTGCACAGTCGGTTCGCGCATCTCTAATGCCAAAAACGAAAGCCTCGACGAAAACAGAATAAAACATCGATATTTGTTGATTCTTCTTACTATAAAGCGCGGTGGTCTGTCTGTCTCTCTCTCTTTCTGTCTCTCTGTCTGTCCGGACATCTCCTCCTAGACCTTTTGACCTTGTGCCTTCATACTTGCACAACATACTATGTGGGTAGATGGGCAGACCATTGGGGCTGATGTGACCCTTGGCGGCCCATAATTAGGTTACCTGAGGTCAAGGTCAATGTTTATTGGTCAAGATCATCTCAAGGTCAAAGGTCAATATGTAAGTATTTGGCGTTTTAAGGACTTTGGATAAGTTTACCTCAATTCAAGCATCAGTCAAGGTCAAATGGTCGATATACAGGAATTAAGCATTTTATGGGGTCTGCTGCAATGTGGGGGATGCTGTGACCCTTGGTTACCCACTCAAATGGGTAGATTGCTAGTTAGAATGCCTAGTCAGACATGTATTTTAATATAATTGTTAGTAAGATTGAGCATTTTCAAATAATAAAAGCGTGGTGGTACGATTTTTTCTGAAAAAAAATTGTTCAATTTACCATTCTAGTTATTCGTGCTGGAGCTGTCATAATATGTAGTCTTAACAATTATGTAAGCATTCATCAGACTGTACCATGTGCTTTTGTTGTTATGATAATTATGTACAAGGTCACGTGACCAAATATGATGCAACAATAAATCGATACTTAGAAGTCACTGATCTATGAGTTCAGTTCATGGTGTCTAGATTGGGATTGAAATTTGGAATTTCATAGTTAAAATAATAGCTTGGAGTTATTATATAATATGGCCTACAAACTAGAACCACCAGAGATCTTCGACGTGACCAAGCCGAGAGAGTGGCGACACTGGAAGGCACGTTTCACGCGATTTAAGTCTGCTGCAAATTTGACGGGTCAAGATGGCGGTCAAAATGAAGGCGATGTTCGAGATGATACAAATGTCATTGACACGCTAATATACTGTATGGGAAGTAATGCAGAGACTATTTACAAGACATTCGTATATGCGGAGGGTGAAAACAAGAAGTCGTATGAAACTATTATGGAAAAATTCGACCATTATTTTATGCCCAAAGTTAACCTGATCGAGGAGCAGAAGACATTTCATTCCATGGTTCAGAAATCAGGTGAGACTTGCGATAGCTTTTTACGTCGTTTATATGATCATGGGGACGTTTGCGAGTTCGAAAATACAGAGAGGGAAATCATGCATCAATTTATAAATGGGATGTTGAACTCTGATCTAGCTGAGAAAGTCAAAATTATGGACTATAAAAAGCTGACACTTGCGAAAGTTATCGAAATGGCGCGAATAAGGGAGCATGTCGCACCCGTGCATACACAATTGGAAACCCCGCATGTCGATGACGTCACCAGGAGGGTTCGTGTCAAGTCAAAGAAGGACTATAGCAGCAAGTTTAAATGTACAAAATGTGGACTATCTCATAAGAAGAGAGAGTGTCCTGCATATGGCAAAAACTGTCTAAAGTGTGGATTAATGAATCACTTCAAACGTTGCTGCAAGACAATTGATATAAAACATGACAAAAAGAAATTGCATGAAGTTGAACATGTCCATGATGATTATGGATCTGATGATACTGACTGTTTGTTCCTGAGTGACTTGGTCACAGATACACAATCATGTGATACGTCTACATTTATACAATCGTGTGATCCAGATATACAAGTGTGCGATCCAGATACACAATCATGTGATACGTCTACATTTATACAATCGTTTGATCCAGCTATACAAGTGTGTGATCCAAATACACAGTCGTGTGATCCAGCTAATCATTCATGTGATCCTGTTTCTATGATATGTGTGATATTGATGAAGTACATGAAGTGGTCGAAGAACCACCATGGTTGATTGATCTAAATATAAATGGTGAAAACATGTGTTTTAAAATTGATAGTGGTGCTGATGCTTCGGTTATTTCTGTAGATGCATACAAAAGAATGAAAATTAACCGTCCAGTGCTAAGTAAACCTACTGCAAAATTTCAGAGCCCTGGGGGTAAAGTTAAGTGCATAGGAGCATTTGTTGCTAGGGTTGTATTCAATGGTAGTAAAGTGTACAAAACAACAATTCATGTAGTTGATAGCTCAAATTCAGCTAATTTGTTATCCAGGGGGGCTGCTACAAGTATGGGTCTCATGAAACGTTTGAATAACCTGGATATCAAAGATCCTAGCATGTATGGGGAAATTGGGGATGTAAAATGTAATCCTGTTTCCATTACATTGAAACCTAACGCACAGCCTTATAGTATTTCTGCACCAAGACGTGTAAGTTTACCTTTGATGCCTAAGGTCAAGGCTAAGTTGAATAAATTGTGTGAACAAGGTGTCATAACACCAGTAACAGAGCCTGTTGATTGGTGTGCTCCTATTGTATGTGCAGAAAAGAAAAATGATTCTGAGCCTAGAATATGTGTTGACTTGAGAAAACTTAATGCTAGCATAAAAAGAGAAAAGTTTGTTCTTCCAACTACTGATGATCTTGTGCATAAACTTAAAAGATCTACCGTATTCTCTACATTAGATGCTTCAAGTAGTTTTCATGGTTTGCGGCTCGATGAGAATAGTTCGAAACTCACAACTTTTATTACACCATTCGGGCGGTATAGATACTTACGCATGCCATTTGGGTTGAATTTTGCGAGTGAGAAATATCAAAGTGTGATGATGGATATATTTAAAAATCATGCCGGTGTAGAAATCATAATTGATGACATGATAGTTCACGGTAAAGATAAAGAAGAGCATGATACGCGATTAGCTGCGGTTTTGGCTACTATAAAAGAATATGGTATAAAACTCAATCAGCGTAAATGCAAGTTCGCTCAAAAGGAAGTTATATTTTTCGGGCTAAAAATTTCAGCGAAGGGGATAAGTCCTACCGAAGATAAGGTACGCGCAATATGTAAAATTAAGCGACCGGAAGATAAATCAGCTGTTAGACGCTTCTTAGGAATGGTAAATTATTTAGGTAAGTTTGTTCCTAATATGTCTACTGTCGCTGCACCGCTGCATGTTTTATTGCGGAAAGATACCGTATTCGCTTGGGATAGTGCACAGCAAGCTGCTTTTGACAAAATAAAGCAACTTATAAGTAAAGCGCCAGTCTTAGCATTTTATGATGTTGAAAAACCAACTATTGTTTGTGCTGATAGTAGTTCTTTTGGACTGGGTGCTTGTTTGTTTCAACGTCACGGTCCGGATGATGTTCGACCTGTTTGCTATGCGTCCCGCACTTTGAGTGATGCTGAAAAGAAAAATGCGATGATAGAAAAGGAATGCCTAGCATCGGTATGGGCATCCGAGAGATTTAGTCGGTATTTGATTGGTTTAGATGAATATGAGTTGATCAGTGATCATCGTCCACTGATTCCGCTCATAAATACAAAAGATATAGATCAAACACCGCTTCGTTGTCAAAGATTGCTAATGAGACTAATGCGATTTAACCCGAAAGCAAGATATGTACCTGGCAAGGATCCAGAAATGGTTATTGCGGATTGTCTTAGTCGCGCTCCGTTGCCAGATTGCGAGGAGAAATGTGAAATAGAGTCTCAACAAGAAGTTGAAAGATATTTATGTCATGTTGAAGACAATAGACCAATTGCGGATTATTTGATTAACCAGATAAAGACTGTTACTTCTACTGATTCGGAACTTGAACTTGTTAAAGACTATATTGTGCATGGTTGGCCAAATTCAATAAAGTCAGTTCCAACAGATATTAAAATGTACTATAAAGATCAAGGTATGCTTTCTATTTACAATGGAATAGTTACATTTGGTTCAAGAATAGTAGTACCAAGATCGTTGCGACCGGATATATTACAAAGAATTCATGATGGACATTTAGGAATTTCAAAATGTCGCGAAAGAGCCAAACAAAGTGTATGGTGGCCCGGCATAAGTTCAGATATTCAGTCGGTTGTTATGAAATGTGATCATTGTTTAACACATAGTAATACTCAGAGAAAACAACCTTTGATTCCAACTCCATTACCAGTCCGTCCATGGAGTCACATATGTGCAGATTTGTGTGAATATGAAATGAAACATTATCTTGTTGTTGTGGATTATTACTCAAGATTTCCTGAAGTAGCACTAATGAATAAAGATACAACTGCGCGAAATGTTATCGATAAGATGAAAAGCATCTTCGCACGTTTTGGGTTGCCTGATGAGTTAACCAGTGATAATGGTCCTCAGTTTACCAGTAATGAATTTGCGGATTTTGCTAATGACTATGACTTTAAACATACCACTAGTTCGCCACATTTTCCACAGGCCAATGGGCAAATCGAGCGTGGCGTCCAGATAATTAAGCGTTTTCTAACTCAGAAAGACCCTTGCAAAGCATTATTAGCATACAGGTCAACACCAATTCAAGCTACAGGATTTTCACCTGCACAAATGCTAATGGGTAGACAGTTGAGAACTACAATACCAACTATGCCTTGTAACCTAATGCCAAAGTGGCCTAATCTTAAAAATGTTGCAAAACAAGATAAAATTACCAAACAGTCATATAAACGTTACTATGACAACCACCATGGGGTAAGGGATTTGGTTCCTTTGATTCCAGGAGATTCAGTGCGTATTAAACATGATAAAGAATCTGATTGGTCAAATAAGGGTATTGTTCAATCCAAGCATGATGCTCCTAGGTCATATATTGTAAAAACAGATAGGGGACTATATAGACGCAATAGACGTCATATAATGCCAGATAAGACGGATGTGAAGTTTCATGATAATCCTTCTCACACTCTTGAAAAGTCATATCTGCCTCAAGTTCCTGTTGTACCAATTATAGATCCACCCACTGATTGTGATAATAAACAGCCAAGTGATGCACCACTTCCAGTTACACAAGTGCAATCACCTGGTAAAATTAAACCTGACATTAGTATGTGTCCTACTGACAGTAAACCAGTCACTCGTGCCAGTAGAGGCCTTATAATAAAAAGACCTGCAAGATATTGTGATTAGAAACAGATTTATTTGGTCAATACAGTGATATAATATTAACATTTATTTGAAACGTTTTGAACTTAAAATGATTGTTCATTTTTGGAAAAAAGGGAAGATGTCATAATATGTAGTCTTAACAATTATGTAAGCATTCATCAGACTGTACCATGTGCTTTTGTTGTTATGATAATTATGTACAAGGTCACGTGACCAAATATGATGCAACAATAAATCGATACTTAGAAGTCACTGATCTATGAGTTCAGTTCAGGAGCCTCAAATTGAAGGAATTTAAGAGAAGATCACAATTATTGTATTGTTTTCTGATATGTGCCTCAAACAATTCAAAATGGCTGCCTAGCAGTGTATGAGGGGTCGGGAAAACATGAATTTGCGATAATTTTATACTTTAATTGAAGGAATTTTAGAGTTTATCACAATTATGGTATTGTTTTTCTGATTTGCGCCTCGGAAAATTCGAAATGGTTGCCTTGCAGGAATTCGCAATTCTAAAATGTATTTTTTCATTTGGTTGTTTTGTTTTAGATTGCAATCCAATGAGGTGTATATAAAAGATTTTCTTTCCTGTTATCTCAAAATCTGCTTGGAACTGTACCATTGGATTAACATGGGAAATTACTCAAAGAGAAAATTCTAGGGATTAAAGAAGGAGTCGGCACTAAATAATTTGACAAGTTATTGGCATACATAAAACCTATTTAAAACAGCTTTTAAATTATTCAAAAGCGTTGAGCATCATTGATTCCCAGCTCTCTGAAGTTTGAAAAATAACAATACCTGCATGGGTGTTAATCCATGGATAATCCTCGAAAATGAGAAATATTTTTTGGGATTATATGGTGTAATCTTATAGTTAATTAGACGTTTTAAAGTGTATTCGTGTTTTAAAGATGAAAAACATAAGCGAAATGCATGAAAAATCTCCCCCAATTCATTCTACAAACAACTCGCGCCCCTTTACGATTTTTCAGTATATTTCTAGGACACCTATTAATCTGTAGTAAATTAACGATTTTCACGTATTCAAAATAATATAGCGGAACGCAGGTACACTATCATATGACGAATGTAATTTAGAAACCCAATTTCAATTAGCTCCATGCTCATATATACAGTAACATTCCACATAACTCCAAATATTCAAGGGTGCTACAAATTTTCGAAAATCCAACGATATGCGTGATGTTATCACGTCACACCATCGTGGCAAGATCATTGTCCAAATCACTCTAGTTTTGCGACATTAAACACAGAAGAAGACTTCCCCGGTTAGGACAAGTTTAGGGAATAATTCAGAATCGGTTTTCGATTGTTTTAATATTTTACTATTTGCTGTTTGATGTATTAAACCATTTGTTTCTCTATATTTTGCTGGTTTGATGTGTTTAAACATTATATCAAATATTTATGATGTTCAAATAAATTTGCAATATTTCAAATCTAAACCTTGATTAACGAGCCATTTCTAACATTATGTTATAAACACAAGTTCGATAATAGGGCAGATCACTTTTGATAGTACAGCATATTAATAAACGCGTCTGTCCTAGTGGGACACACGATATGTCTCTCGCAAAGATGTTCTATATTGCTCTTAGTTTTCTGATTACGCTGGGACTCAGTTCCGTATTCTGTCAGGTAAGATACGTTCAGATAAGTTTCATCTGTTTGTACAGTTTGATAAACGATTTTCTGGAAAATATCACACGGATTTCAATAATATCCGAAATATTACTAGCTGCTATTGTACAGATAACACATTAATCGTGGGATAATTTATATATATATATATATATCTAATGATTTTATTGAATTATAAGTTTAAAGTTTTTTCAAAAACCGTTTAATGTTTCTCGTACAAAATAATTGTATGTTTTTTAAATAAAGATACACCAATCTTCTTATTTATACGCAACCCGTTGGAAATTACAGCGCAGAATTAAATTTTTGTTTGCAAGCTCTGTAATCGTCCATCAAACGATCAAATTAAAAACGGGATTATTAAATCGATATGTTCCACGAGGGGTTGTTCTTTGCTGACGATCAAATGCGACCGCTGCTTCAAACAAGTTGGTGAAGAGAGGATTAGATGCGTAGGAGGAAAATGGGCCGCGATAAACAGTCGCTGTGTCCGTAAGCAATAAGCATGATCTTTTGTATTTTTCTAATTCTGAATTCATTTAAATAGCATTTCATAAGTCAATTAGTATTATGATTTCAAGGGTGAAACTAAGTAAATATTTATTTATAAAAATTTAAAGGACAAAGAGACATTAGTACAATGCAATAGACTTTAATGTAGATGCAGGTACATGTAGAAGGTACATGTAGCAGTGTGAACGACTAAATAAATAAAACATTTCAATTCAATTCATCAATCATTCTTTTATTTCAAATGTTTAAGGTACACATTGACATGAAAAAGACACCCCGTGGGGTGTATAAGTTCCATGTTTAACATACAATATATATATTATTTATACAATTAACAGTCAGATTATATGGAAACGAAAAATGACAAAGCATAAATTACATCATAATAAGATAAAGTAATGAGAGGAAAGCATTTTTCAAAGTAAGTCTAATAATGACTCAGCAAATCAAACTTTAACTGAAAATGATTTGATATGTTTAGACTCTTTGAGATCAAGTGAAAGAGTATTGTAAAGTAATGGGCCACTTGTTTCAATTGATTTTCTTCCTATTTCTGTTCTGAATTTTTTTACAGTTAAATTCTTATTGATTCTTGTGTCATGATTATGAATTGCTGTTCTTGGAACGAATAAATTTTTGAAAAGGAAATTCTGGAGATCCAGAAACAGTTTTCTGAGCAAAGCTAGCGGTTTGTAGTTTATTATTATGTCAAATATATTCAATATTTTCAATTTTGAAAAGAGAGGTCCCGAAGGAGCTAGACGATCGGAATAAGTGATAACTCTCAAGAATTTATTTTGCAGGACATACAATTTTTGAATGAGTTTTTATGGCATTTCCCTATAAAATGTTACAATAGCTTAAATAGGAATAAATCATGGGGTAGTAGATATTGGTCATTGTATCTGAAGTCAGTCTATGTCTAGTCTTATAAAGAAGTGAACATAAAGAAGTGAACGTGAACATAATACCATTATTAAAGCTACTTTTTGAGGACCACTGAATAAATAAAGCATAACACCATCAATTAAAGTATCTTAGTGTGGACCACTAAATGAATAAAACAGAATACCATCAATTAAAGCTACTTCGCGTGGACCACTGAATAAATAAAACAAAATACAATCAATTAAAGAAACTTCGTTTGGACCATTAAATAAATAACATAGTACCATCAATTAAAGCTACCTCATGTAGATCACTGAATAAATTAAACATAATACCATCAATTATAGCTACTTCGTGTGGACCAATGAATAAATCAAATATAATACCATCAATTAAAGCTACTTCGTGTGGACCAATGAATAAATCAAATATAATACCATCAATTCAAGCTACTTCGTGTGGACCAATGAATAAATAAAACATAATACCATCAATTAAAGCTACTTCGTGTGGACCAATGAATAAATAGAACATAATACCATCAATTAAAGCTACTTTGTGAGGACCAATGAATAAATAAAACATAATACAATCAATTAAAGAAACTTCGTTTGGACCATTAAATAAATAACATAATACCATCAATTAAAGCTACCTCATGTAGACCACTGAATAAATCAAACATAATACCATCAATTATAGCTACTTCGTGTGGACCACTAAATAAATCAAACATAATACCATCAATTAAAGCTACCTCATGTAGACCACTGAATAAATCAAACATAATACCATCAATTAAAGCTACTTTGTGTGGACCAATGAATAAATAAAACATAATACAATCAATTAAAGAAACTTCGTTTGGACCATTAAATAAATAACATAATACCATCAATTAAAGCTACCTCATGTAGACCACTGAATAAATCAAACATAATACCATCAATTATAGCTACTTCGTGTGGACCACTAAATAAATCAAACATAATACCATCAATTAAAGCTACCTCATGTAGACCACTGAATAAATCAAACATAATACCATCAATTAAAGCTACTTTGTGTGGACCAATGAATAAATAAAACATAATACAATCAATTAAAGAAACTTCGTTTGGACCATTAAATAAATAACATAATACCATCAATTAAAGCTACCTCATGTAGACCACTGAATAAATCAAACATAATACTTTCAATTAAAGCTACTTCGTGTAGACCACTGAATAAATCAAACATAATACCATCAATTAAAGCTACTTCGTGTGGACCAATGAATAAATCAAATATAATACCATCAATTAAAGCTACTTCGTGTGGACCAATGAATAAATAAAACATAATACCATCAATTAAAGCTACCTCATGTAGACCACTGAATAAATCAAACATAATACTATCAATTAAAGCTACTTTGTGTGAACCCCTAAAGTTAACAGCCGGTATAGCTGCTTCAAGTGATAGCACACATTGTGGGGCGGTAGTCAAGCTGAAATGTGTGAAAGGATACGAACCAACCAAAGCGATTAAGATGGCTTGTGAACCAACAGGAAAATGGAAAGGGACACGATTGAAATGCACGAGTAAGTAAACTTTAAGATCAAGAGCGAAATTATCTGCTAGTGGGTTGGATAAGCCCGTTTCCTAAGTGACATCTATATTATTGAGTAGAGTGAATCTTTATTCTAAATATACTTAGGGACCCAGCCTGAATATTTTTGTTTTTGAATATTGGAGAGTATTACGCGAGATTTTTTCATTTTCTTGTTGGAAAATATATTTATTTTATGATGTGGGGTGATATCTAGAGTTTGAGGCTTGCGAAAATAAGATATCCTCGTCTTTATACCCCCCACCCTATAATTTCAGGGGGGTCAGACGAAAATAAACTTTAATTCATAACTTTGGAAGTAAATGAGATACAAACTTAATTTTTTCACCATAATTTATAGAATAACATCAGTAATGCAGAAAAAAATATATCAAACGATAATAATGCAAAATTTGCGTAATTTAACCCTTAAACCGCCATAAAAACTATTAAATAACGGAATGATAATAAACAACTTTTACTGTAATTGCCTTCATATGAAGTTATAACTTATGAAATAATTCCTAAAAATGCATCTATATATGTATATTAGATGTGCAAAATATTAAAAGTGTATCTTACATAACGACTGTGAAAAATATTTCTCCCCTTACCCTAAAATTGAAGGGAGGGGGTCAAAAGAAAATAAACTTTAATTCATAACTTTGGAAGTATATAAGATACAAACTTAATTTTTTCATTAAAATTTACAAAATAATAGCAGTAATGGAGAAAAAAATATTTTGAACAAAAATAAGCTAATTTGCATAATTTAACCCTTAAACCGCCATAAAAACTATTAAATGACAAAATGATAATATACGACATTTACTGTAATTACCTTCATATGAAGTTATAACTGATGAAATAATTCCTAAAAATGCATCCATATATGTATAATAGATGTGAAAAATATTAAAAGTGCATCTTATATATAGATTGTGAAAAAATTTCTCCCCCTACCCAGATATTTCAGGGGGGTCAACTGAAAATGGACTTTAATTTATAACTTTGGAAGTATATGAGGTATAAACTTCTTTGTTCACCAAAATTTATGTAATAACATCAGTAACTAAGAAAAAACATTTTTGATATGCAAATGAGCTAATTTGCATAATTCAACCCTTATACAGTCATAAAAACCGTTAAATGACAAAACGATAAAATACGACATTTATTTTAATCGACCTCTCATGAAGTTATAACTTATGAAATAATTCATATAGTTGCATTTATATATGTATAACAGATGTGCAAAATATTAAAAGTGTATCTTACATAACGACTGTGAAAAAAATTCTCCCCCTACCCAGATATTTGAGGGGGGGGGTCAAAATGAAAATGGACTTTAATTCATAACTTTGGAAGTACAGTATATGAGGTACAAACTTAATTTTTCACCAATATTTATGTTATATCATCAGTAATTCAGAAAAAATATTTTTTGATATGCAAATAAGCTAATTTGCATAATTTAACCCTTATAAAGTAATAAAAACCGTTAAATGACGAAGTGATAAAATATGGCATTTACTTTAATTGACTTCTTATGAAGTTATAACTTCGAGAAAAAATTTACAACAGATATGCACAATATAGTGAGGTTATTTTATATAATGAGTGTGAAAAGAATCTTACACCCTACCTTAATAATTTTGAGGGCTCGGGGGGGGGGGGGTTAAGGAAAATAATAGACTTTAACTCATAACTTTGAAATAATTTAAGAAAGAGCTTATATTTCTTCGCTGAAAATTGATAAATCACATCAATAATGAAACGAATATTACATGGGGACAATACTATATTTCAACTAATTTGCATAATTTAAGCTTCAAACAGTCATGAGAATCATGATTATAAGGCAAAGTGGTTCTATACTGAAATTGACTTCACATGAAGTAAGGACTTTGACAATATATCCTTTCTTAATACTAGCATTTAAATGGAAAAATGAAATCAACAATTATGAAGCTATTTTTCCCAACTATTTCAATGCCCATGGAGATTTTCATAGATATAATACTAGAGGCAAATCAAACTTCACCCTTCCTAAAGCAAAACTGAAAATTATGGCAAAAACAATAGCCTTTAGTGGTTACTCCATATGGAACAATCTCCCAGAAGAAATAAAAAAGTCAAATTCCATTTCTTTTCTTAAATCAAAACTGAAAAAGCATATTCTCTTAGCTTATTAATCATTAGTTGACTATATCATTTCTTGTTTCCTCAGTAAGAAGGGTAGGCTCTCAAGGGAGGTACATGGGCCAACCTGGGGGCTGCTCCAAACTACTTAAGATCTAAAATAATAATTCTGACCATACCAACCTTGGGGAAGGTAAAATAATAACTAATATTTTATAAGAATCACACTTTTAACGATTATTTGCGTCAATGCGGTAGCCTGGTATCTTTCAATAATAATTAATGAAGCTACACATTCATAAAATTTCCCCATGGCATATGGCACCTTCTTGGCTTCAAATGAAACGAGCATCATGGATCCCCCATACCTTTATTTATTATAATCTAACTTTTGTGATTACATTCCGGTTTGATTCGTTGACAACATAATGATATACTTCATGATTTAACTACTATATGTACGGGTATTTAAGCATCACCTGTGGTGCCACCTATTATTAATAATATGTGAACACATAATGATTAAATGTATGAATAAATTGAGTTGAATTGAACTTGCAATGTTTCAGAATAACCCTTAAAAAGGTAACCATAACAATTCTAAAGTTTATTGAACCATATTCAGAGTCACTGTGGGGACTGGTGTCATATTCTAGGTTTTAGGTACCTGATGCAGTGAAAATGTCATCATATATGTTTGGGTTAATCCACTTATTCCCGTCCACACTCACTTTCCTTTGAGCCGCATGAACATGCAGCAAAACATTCTGTACCTGCAGTGGCACATGAGCAAGTGGTTTAACATATTGCTTTGTCCTTGTATCGTTTGCATGTGCAAAATGACTTTGGGATTTTTGTTATATCAAGTTTCGGTTTTTTGGTCATTTTAATGGTCTCAAGAGTAATATGAACCACTTGACATCCAAATCTATTCCCTGGCTCTGGAATCTCAAAAAGTGGTTTGTCAGCATTCATTGAAATGTATAATTGTTATAAACCAAAAATGCATCCATAGTTAGTGGTAATGCTCTAATATCATTTTGGATGCTGCAAACAAGTGTAATACATCCAATGATAGTTTGTTTTTATATTGAAATATAAACAAAAATAACGCAACTCCCCTAGACCAGAGATCGTGCCCATGTGGACAGTCAATGGAGACAGAAACTCACTTTAAAGTAGAATGTCATATGTTTGAAAATGAACGATTAAGTCTGTTTGCTTAAATGACTGATATCCATAGTGACTTTTACATGTATACAAGTCTAGGAAAATATTGTATAATAATGAATGAAAAAAACTGTTCAAAGGACACTTGGAAAATGTATGATAAATATGTTAGTCAAAAGGCGTGAAATAATTACATGCGATGGTCTCTAATAGGTCAGCATCGACTAGGAATTGTTTTAATTCATGTATGTATCTTAATGTAACATCTTTAGTGTGTAAGACTTTAATTAATAAATTTACTACTACTACTAGTCTAGTATAATATTGTTTCCATGTAATATTTGTTTCATTCTTGATGTGATTTCTCAATATTCTGGCGAAGAAATACATGTATAAGCTCTTTCTTATATGATTTCAAAGTTATGAATCAAAGTTTATTATTTTCTTTTAACTTCCCCCAACCCTAAAATATTAGGGTTGGGTGTGAGATTTTTTCACACTCATTATATACAATACCCTTTTTATATTGTGCATACCCGTTGTAAATGTATTTCTAGGAATTATTTCACAAGTTATAACTTCATAGAAGTCAATTAAAGTAAATTTCGTATTTCATCACTTTGTCATTTAACGTTTTTTATGACTGTATAAGGTTTAAATTATGCAAATTAGCTTATTTTCATATCAAGATATTTCTTCCGAATTACTGACGTTATAGAATAAATTTTGGTGAAAGAATTAAGTTTGTACCTCATATACTTCAAAAGTTATGAATTAAAGTCCATTTCCATTTGACCCCCCTCAAATATCTGGGTAGGGGGACAATTTTTTTTTAGCGTCGTTATGTAAGATACACTTTTAATATTTTGCACATCTGTTATACATATATAGATGCATTTTTAGGAATTACTTTATTTGTTAAAACTTCATGAGAGGTCAATTAGAGTAAATGTCGTATTTTATCGCATCGTCATTTAACAGTTTTTATGACTGTATAAGGGTTAAATTATGCAAATTAGCTTATTTGCGTAACAAAAATATTTTTTCTGAATTACTGATGTTATTACATAAACTTTGGTGAAAAAATTAAGTTTGTACCTCATATACTTTTAAAATTATGAATTAAAGTCCATTTTTATTTGACCCCCTCCCCTCAAAAATCTGGATAGGGGGAGAATTTTTTTCACAGTCTTTATGTAAGATACACTTCTAATATTTTGCACATTTATTATACATATATAGATGCATTTTTAGGAATTATTTCATAAGTTATAACTTCATATGAAGGCAATAACAGTAAATGTGATATAACATAATTTCGTCATTTACTAGTTTTTATGGCAGTTTAAGGGTTAAATTATGCAAATTAGCTTTTTTTCATTCAAAATATTTTTTTCTTCATTACTGATGTTATTTCATAAATTTTGGTGAAAAAATTAAGTTTGTATCTCATATACTTCCAAAGTTATGAATTAAAGTCTATTTTCTTCTGACCCCCCTAAAATTATAGGGCGGGGGGTATAAAGATGAAGATATCTTATTTTCGCAAGTCTCAAACTCTAGATATCACCCCACATCAAAAAAATTACTTATTTTCCAACAAGAACTGAAAAAATCTCGCGTAATACTTTCCAATATCCATTTTCACTTTCTAGCTGTTTCTCAGAACTTGGGTCCCTG